TCAAAAAAAAAAAAAAAAGAAAGAAAGAAATAGACCAACAGGTGTACTGAGCAGAGCCTCAGGATTCTAGAAATAGGCATCAACGAGAATGGAAGATTACCTTAGTCATATGAGGTCCTGCTCAAAGTCCTGCTGTGTAGGTAGTGCTGCTGAAATTTAAGAATATTTGTAAAATTTTTCCCTAGGTTAATAGCTCAAAACTACATTTCAAAAACTTTCAGTCATTACTTGAAACCAGCAATGGATCAATAAATTATTAAGGGATATGAAACTGATAAATAATGAGACATAAAGACGTCATCAAAAATACTTAAAATGAGTAAGGAAAAAAAACACAGTTATCAAACAAGCTGAGTTACTTAAATTCAACTCACCAACATTAACACAAATGGTAATGCTAAATAACATAAACTGACACATCCATTTTTAAATTTCATAATAGGTTTGCTATTTATTTCATTATTTTTACCAATGGTAATTTGCTCAGTGCACAAATATAATTTAATATTTTTATTAATATTCTAAAGGTTGAATTTATAAATATCCTTATGTTTACATATAATAATCTCTTACTCTTGCCTTATATAATCTTAGCTTTTAAGACTGGGGCCCCTGAACATCACCATCAATCATGATTACATGTCATCACAGACTATAGGTGATTTATTAAAGCCACACACAGTTCATTGTGTTTGGTAGAACTCAATTTTGCTGACATTGAATTTCTTCTCCTCTTTTGCTGGAGTTTGATGTGTAAAAGTGATGCCATTCCCTGAGCAGAAAGCCTAAATGGAAACTCTGGAAAATCTCAGCTCTTTCCCTCTTCTAGACGAGGAAATCCAGGCCTTGCTCCACAATACTTTTGTCCTTTAATCCTTCCTATTACATATTTGCTTTTCAGATGTTTGATTGAATTTATGTTAAATTTTGTGACTTCTCTTTTCCTTCATAGAAATAATTTTTTGACTATTAACATAAGTGCAGGTACTCAGTTATTTTTTTAAACATTCAATGGGAACTGCAAACTAAAACGTATTCCATCATCTAAAAGGATTGTTTATACTGAGATTCTATCACACTCCATTCAGAATGGCAATTATCAAGAATACAAGCAATAATAAATGTTGGTAAGGATGTGGGTAAAAAGGTACACTCATACATTGCTGGTGGGACTCCAAATTGTTGCAACCAGTATGGAAAGCAGTATGGCAATTCTTCAGAAAACTTAGAATGAAACCACCATTTGACCCAGCTGTCCCACTCCTAGATTTATACCCAAAGGTCTTAAAATCAGCATATTACAGTGACACAGCCACATCAATGTTCATAGCAGCTCAATTCACAATAGCCAAACTATGGAACCAACCTAAGTGGCCTTGAACAGATGAATGGATAAATAAACTGTGGTATATATACACAATGGAATATTACTTAAATAAGAATGAAATTATGGCACTTGCCTGTAAATGGATAGAACTGGAGACTATCATGCTAAGTGAAATAAGCCAATCCCCCAAAACAAAAGACTGAATGTTTTCTCTCATATGCAGATGCTAATTTACAATGTAGGTGGGGAGAACAGAGGTATTTTGGACTAGACAAAGAGGAGTGAAGGGAGGGGAGGGGGCTTAGGGGTAGGAAAGGTAGTAGAAAGAATTGGGCATTATTATACTATGTGCATATATGATTATATTATCTTTGTAACTCTTCAACATGTACAACCAGACAAATGAGAAGTTATACTCCTTTTTGTATGATGTGTGAAAATGCATTCTTCTGTCATGTATAACTAAATAGAACAAATAAAAAACCACTTTAAAAAATAAATAAAAATAAAAGGATTGTTTTCAATATATAATCATTAATCTTGTGAACCCACATGATGAGTACTTTTTGCAAGTTTCCTAATTTACTTGGTATAAAACATAGAAAGTTGAAAAAGATACCTTAAATTTATTATTTGCACCTAAATAACACATGTTGTGATTTTAGAATAGAAAAATTTCTATGCATTGTCAGATTATGCTCATGTGAATGCTTTCTTCATAAAGACATGAATAAGATGGATAAGATATAACAGAGATTGAATTCAAGGGAAAAATGGAAAGTGCAGATGCCAGAAACAAGACAAGGAAACTAAGGTAACTAAGCGTGATGGTGCACACCTGTATTCCCAGCTACTTGGGTAGCTGAGGCAGGAGGATTGCAAGTTCAAGGCCAACCTAGGTATCTTAGGGAAGCCCTGTCTCAAAACAAAATAAAAAGGGCTAGGATGTAGTTCAATGGATGAGAACCCCTGTGTTTAATCCCCAGTAGCACCAAAAGAAAAAGAAAAGAAAGGGAAAAGAAGATTGGTATTTTAAGCCTCTAAGTTTTGGGGTGGTATCGGAAAGGCTGATGAATATGCCATCTACATTATATTAAATATATTTATTATCATAAATAATTAAACATAATTCATTGTATAAATGTAAGAGAGACACAACTTTCCATAAAAATATTTGAGACAGCTTTTCTATGGATATCTCTGAAAGAACCACTAATAAGAAATCCTTCAAGAAGAAAGAAATAAAACCCAGAAGGAAATAGTTGGATGCTAGAGACTAATCAATATATTTATAAAGTAAATAAATATTTACTGCATGAAATAATAACAATGACTAATTTTTCTTAGGATGAGTGTTGAGGACAGTGGCTATTTATGATATAAAAAAGCAATTATAGCAAGGAGAGACATGATTTGAGCTGAGTTCCCTAGAAAACATAGTTCAAGATGAGGAGAGAGATCCTAATTAACTTCAGAAGAGCAGCATCCAATATGTAGACACTAGCCCCAGGTGGGGATCTAAATTTAAATTTAAGTTAATTAAGAAGTCCTAATATTTAAAATTCAGTTTCTTCAGCTCTGACATGTAAACAGCTTGGAAGTTATCATTTCTTTCCTACAAGGTAAAAAAAAAAATCTAAGAAAACTGAAAATTGATGTTTCTCATACCAATCAGAAGCTGAGGCTTCAGGGCCAGTCATAACCAGAAATCATAAAAACTAACAAATGCAAATAAATTTGGCCAAGAGTAGCTTATCTGAGCAGAAGCCACTACAGCCATAAATTGTTAGGGAGGACAACTTAAGTGGTGATTTTGCTATCATGTACATTCCTGAGGTCAACAGTCTTAGGAGGCCAAGAGTGTTAGGGTGTGACTGGAGGAGGGCAAAAGCTATAGGCCTAGAAGATTCTACTCCTAGAGATCTGGCACCAAAGTAGAAAGAGGAGGGAAGAAATACTCTAACCCCTGTCTTCTTCTACCCTCCCATCTCTTCAGCTTCTTCTTAGATCAGCCAAACCCAACTGATATGAATGTATAAAGTACTAATAGCTCCTGAAGAAACAGCAAACTATATATCATTTATCATAGATTTGGAAATGTAACTCCTCAGAGGTAATGATGGTACCGTTTGAATTATCCCTTATTAGAAATGCTGGGAACCAGAGAGTTTAAAATTTCTTTTTTTTTTGTCAGATTTTTAAACTATTTCCAAATATATAAAATATATTGGAGATGAGACTCAAGTCTAAGAACAAAATTCACTTACGTTTTATATAAATCTCATGCACATATCTTGGAAGCAATTTTGTATAATATTTTTATTGTGCCTGAGATTTTGACCATGACCTGTTATTTGAAGCCAGGTGGGGATTTTCCAATAGTGTCACCATGTTGGTGTTCAAAAATTCTTGGATTTTGGAGCATTTTGAACTTCAAGTTTTCAGATGAGGGGTGTTCAGCACCACATGTGTAAAATATACAGGTAAAATATTTAATTGTATAAAAATCTTATAACATGGATAAGAAAAAGATTGAGTAATCAAAATAAATGACAAGGAATACAAATAACACAAGATTGAATGAAAACATAAAAACCTGCAAACTTATTATAAATTTGAAAGTAAATTAAAATGATTGCAATGGTATATAAGTAAGTATGTATATCTTTTTTAAAAATTATGTATACCATATGTTTATAACTATATTAAAAATATACTAAAGAAAGAAGGAAATAGTTAAAGTTTTGTGTGGAAAAATTGTCATATTTTTTATTCAATATTTTTAAATTTCTATATAATTTTCCATTATAAAATTGTCTTTGCTGAGCATAAAGATATCTTTAAGTTAGATGATACATCACCAGAAAATTAAAACAGGAAAAAATTTTTCAAATTTTCATAAGGACATAGTTATTTTTAAGGATAAAAAATATATGTTAAGCTGATATGCAGAAGACATATGTATACCGATATACTATATGCACATATACAAAAATAATGGGAAAATGACCTTATAAGAGTAGCAAATACACATAAAACTATTGATGAGGAAATGAGGTTCATCATAAGAACATAAGCTTAGTATTCAAAATTTTAAAATTTGGCACAAATATTACTATGACTCCCCTTTTTCAAAAGGTATACTCAAAGCTTCTTTTCAAATATGCATATTTGTTCATTTTTTAATTCAAGGGCCTTTTAGTCTCTATGTAAGTCAAAATAATTTTTGTAAAGGTTTTAGGAAAAGAATTTGAGTTGTATTTGTGTATTAAAAAAAAATCAACTTGATATAGCAAATCAGCATGAAGCTGTCACGCAGCTTCCTGCTTTTGAAGTACCCTCACCTACTTCAGCAAGTGAAACACAAAGTCATATTTGAAAATGCTTTAAGCTTGTAGTTTTATTTTCCAATACCCAGTGTTTGGTTCTTGGGGTGATTTTACCTTTATCAGTATTAATAGTATTGCCTTTATCACAGACTTTGCACCACCCCTAAGAATAAGAAAAGGAATAACTTTTAAATTTATTCATTTATGGACTACGCATACAACATATACATGATCCTGATATCAAATCAGTTTTTAAATCATACACACTGCTAATTGTTACATAAAATAAATGTTCATAGCACATCAGCCCATTGGGTTTGAGGTCTTAGGGTTCATCTGAATAAGAAAGAAGTTTCCATCTCATGGTTGTATCAACTTCTTCATCAACATTTCCCAGTTCTGGCCTACTAAAAAGTTCCAGGAATACCTAAAGAGGAGACAAGAAGAAAAGGGAATAATCAGATTATGAACTGTCTTCCAAATAATCAGAAAAAAAACACATGTTGCTTGCATGTGAAATTAATAGGGATGAGAGAAATTCAAGTGGTAGACTCACCTTTTCCAGCGTGCACTGAGAGAGGCTATATTCCTCCAGGTTAAAGTTATGTTTAACTGGTGGGAAAAAGAACTAGGTATAGATGCTGGCATTTTATTACCAGGATTTGTTCCAAGTTATATGAACTAAATCTTCAAATTATTAATATAACTAGATAAACCAAATAGACAAATAATTTGCAGAAGGATGATATAATGAACATCATAAGTAGTTAATATAAATGCATACTAAATTCATCTTGATATTAGGATTTTTTCAAACCTTGTCTGATAAGATGTGTTGTGATATTAGCATATGTGTTTGGCCAATTACAAATGTTCCTTTGTGGACATATCCTTAATACATGAGGAACATTTTATTCTTGTTTCACACCCATCTTGTACTCCCCTTAGTAGGTTCACCTGCCTCACCAGGTCTCTGTTAGTCTTCTCTACCACAAACTCTAAATGGCATCTGTCACTGGATTCACATATTCACATGTTCATGGTTTATCAAGTACAGCCTAAGAATCTCCTACATGAAAGGTGCTCTCAGATGCCAGAAACAGAACAATAAAGAAACAGGCAAAACTCTCTGCCTTTGTATTTGCATCTTAGTGGGAATAATATGGGCATTAATGCATGAACCCTTAAGTATATAACAGAGTAAATTATTATAGTGGCTCTAGAGAAAAAGAAAGCAGATAAATAAAATAGGGTGTGCTGGGCACTTTTTTTAATAGGATGTTCAGGAAGGTCACAGAAATAAGGTGATCGTTGAGCAGAAACCAGAAACAGTGGAGAAGCAGCTTGGATATTTAGGAAGAATTCCATAATACTAAGTCCTGAGGCAGGAACACTATGTCTGGCAGCATTTAGGAAGAGCCAGGAAGTCCATTGTCTAGAGTGAAAGGAGCACAGCAGAGATTACTTATTATCTCAAGCACAAGGAACCAGGCACAGTTCTAGGTACTCAAAATTAACTTGTTGAATACTCTAAACAACCTGGCAAAGAGGGCACTGATATTATTCCTCATTGTCGAGATGAGCCATCTAGACAGGCAGGTATCAAGCAATTTTTACCTAATGTCTCTTGGGTAGAAAGCAACAGCAGTGGCATGGGAACCAATAAGACTGGCTCTGGACTCTGAACTCTTCACCACTATGCTGTGCTGAGAAATTACACCACACTGCTCTACTGCTGAGAATGACCCACTTGAAAGCAGAAAAATGATAGCAAGTAGCAAGAGAAATTATGCTCAGTCAGGGAATGGCCTGAGCTATCATTCAAAGCCACAGGAAGGCTAAGAACACCAGCACAGATATGAGGAGGTTGATGGACAAATGGAAGGTTTCTCTATTGCTTTCCTTTTATTAGTGAAATATAAAGCAAGGACATCAACTGAGGGAGGAAAGTGAGAAGGAGGTAGATATGGAAGGAGAAGAGGGGTGAAGCACTCATTAGGACATGTGGTGTGAAGGACTGTGTATAAGTAGGAAAAGCAGGCCACACCAAAGGGCTTTATGAGGGTAATGTTGTGGAGGCCCAGTAAGAATGGTCAAGCATGGCTGTGTGTTTTCACGCAGTTTCCCTTCCTGCACTGCAGATTAACCTCCTTCCAGACAGCTGGATTAATTATTGGTATGATTTGATTGGGAGGGATCCCCTGAAAAACTCATGTGGTAATGCAGAAATATTTAGAGGTGAAATGATTATAAGAGATATAACCTAATCAGTGGATTAATTCATTTGATGGATTATTCACTTGAATGGATTGCTGGGTGGTAATTGTAGTCAGATAGGGTGTGGCCAGAGGAAGTAGGTCACTAGGGGTGTGTCATTGGAGATTATATCTATCCCTGGCTCCTTGCTTTTTGTATTTGCTTCTGGGCTGACACAAGCTGACAGCCCTCCTCCATCAAGCCCTTCCACCATGATGTTCTGCCTCACTGTAGTCCCAGAGCAATGGAATTGGTCCATCATGAACTGAACCTCTGAAACGGTGACCTCAGAATTGAAAATTTCTTCCACTAAATTGTTATTGTCAGGTATTTTGGTCACAGCTATGAAAAGTGACTAACACACCTATCATCATCTACAATTACCATTCTTAAAAATCATGCCCTGCTGAGTCTGTTTAAAAAATATATCATACAACCAATCATCTCCACTAAATTAAAAGTCTTGATCCTTCAAGACTTTTGTTTAAATATGGTCATTCTTACCTGTTTCTAATTTGTAAAAGGCCTGAGATAGAGGGTAAACATCTGCTATGGGCAGCTTAAAGGTCAACAAGGAAGAAAACCTGGGAACAGGAAAATGTCATCTTCAACTCAGAATCTCCATTGAGGGGAAAGACAAGCATCAAAATAAATACTGCTATTATCACTAACTTCCTTTTTTAAAACAACAATTTTCTTTTTAAAATAAAAATGATCATTTATCATTCATCAATGGAAAAAGTTAATCATTTTTGGTACCTTGCTTTTGTAGATTCTTCTAGTAATGATCTGGCATAGTTACATATTATGCTAAGTTTACCCAAACTGTTACCTTGTTGAAAAGAAATATTCTAAACTTTTCCCTTTGATGAGTTTCAATTATATCGATAACAATCTCAAATGAAAGTTCAGACTTGTCACCAGAAAGCTAACTTGTAAAGAGAGATTGAAGCTGGAAGAAGGGACATAAAAGACCTGAAGACTTCGCTGGCCTCAAAGGAACAGTCAGAATTGATTTGGGACATCTTGTTTCCATGTACTACTACTGGTTGCACACTCTCATGCCCTCTTCTCAGCTCTTTCCCAAATAGAGGTTGGTGCTCCCACATGGCCCAAAGGTTGACCACACCCACAGGACAGGCTCCCTACAGACCAGTCCCTGCTCCTTCCATCATACCATCCATGGTCTTCCCATGTATATCAAAACCTCTTGTTTAATCTATGACACCAAAATTCTAAGAACAGGGCTGAGTTACATGCCCTGAAGCATACCTTAGATAGTCAATTACATTTTCACTTTGCTAAAATAAAAATAGCAATTTTTATATCCTGTATCTTTGATGTACTTGTCTTAAATTCAGCTCTCACTCAACCATGTTGTCCTACCCCAATCTCATTCGCACACACACACACACACACACACACACTCACACACACATACACACTCCTTACTTTTCTTCATATGAAAGCATGAAAATTCCATCAAAGGGAGATTCTTTATCTTGATTGCAGTTTCTTTTATATTGTGAAGGGGTACAGGACAACTCCCAAGCCTTTTCTAATAAGGAAGAGTCAACAAATCCTTTCCTGAGGTCCCTAACTACGATTTGAAGTGAAATCACAATGAAGTTCTAACAGAGCAAAAAAGAAACCTGAGGGTAAAGCCCACACCTTTCTCCAAAGTCAGAACCCTTTTCACCTTTCCTGCTGCGCAGCCTGGGGGAAAAGATTCAGAATCTCGGTGTGGATCAAAGGTACTTGAGAAGGCTCCTTCACTTTGAGTTCTAGAATGTAATCTTTGCCAAATTTTCTTTTCAGGTGTTGGATAGAACCAATGCATCTATGGGTAAGAAGGAGAACATGTTGGAAAAAACACTACCACTAACATTTGGATGCAATTCTTCAATTTCCAAGGTAGTGGAAAGGGAAAAGAAAGGCTCCAGATGCTCACTGCAGTTCTGCCCTTTCCACAGGGATTCTGTGTTAGATGTCAAGTGCAGGCTCTGGAGTGATACCCACCTCAGCCTTCCAGACACCATGATGGCCACACGGTCACACAGAGCCTCAGCCTCAGCCAAGTAGTGGGTGGTCAAGAGGACACTCTTCTCAGTGCTCTTAACAGCTGCCTGGATTGTCTGCCTGAAGTGAGCCAAGACAAAATTTAAAACAAAAATACAGAAAAACAGTGAGTGAGCGAGAGAGAGAGAGCAAAATGGAGGAGAAATTTCATAGATAGGTTTATTTATTTATTTATTTATTTTTATTTTTTTTAATTTTTTATTGTTGGCTGTTCAAAACATTACATAGTTCTTGATATATCATATTTCACACTTTGATTCAAGTGGGTTATGAGCTCCCATTTTTACCCCATATACAGATTGCAGAATCACATCAGTTACACATCCATTGATTTACATATTGCCATATTAGTGTCTGTTGTGTTCTGCTGCCTTTCTTATCCTCTACTATCCCCCCTCCCCTCCCCTCCCCTCCCCTCTTCTCTCTCTGCCCCCTCTACTGACATTCATTTATCCCCCTTGTATTATTTTTCCCTTTCCCCTCACTTCCTCTTGTATGTACTTTTGTATAACTCTGAGGGTCTCCTTCCATTTCCATGCAATTTCCCTTCTCTATCCCTTTCCCTCCCACCTCTCATCCCTGTTAATGTTAATCTTCTTCTCATGCTCTTCGACCCTACTCTGTTCTTAGTTACTCTCCTTATATCAAAGAAGACATTTGGCATTTGTTTTTTAGGGATTGGCTAGCTTCACTTAGCATAATCTGCTCTAATGCCATCCATTTCCCTGTAAATTCTATGATTTTGTCATTTTTTAATGCAGAGTAATACTCCATTGTGTATAAATGCCACATTTTTTTTATCCATTCATCCATTGAAGGGCATCTAGGTTGGTTCCACAGTCTAGCTATTGTGAATTGTGCTGCTATGAACATCGATGTAGCAGTGTCCCTGTAGCATGCTCTTTTTAGGTCTTTAGGGAATAGACCGAGAAGGGGAATAGCTGGGTCAAATGGTGGCTCCATTCCCAGCTTTCCAAGAAATCTCCATACTGCTTTCCAAATTGGCTGCACCAATTTGCAGTCCCACCAGCAATGTACAAGTGTACCCTTTTCCCCACATCCTCGCCAGCACTTGTTGTTGTTTGACTTCATAATGGCTGCCAATCTTACTGGAGTGAGATGGTATCTTAGGGTGGTTTTGATTTGCATTTCTCTGACTGCTAGAGATGGTGAGCATTTTTTCATGTACTTGTTGATTGATTGTATGTCCTCCTCTGAGAAGTGTCTGTTCAGGTCCTTGGCCCATTTGTTGATTGGGTTGTTTGTTCTCTTATTGTCTAATTTTTTGAGTTCTTTGTATACTCTGGATATTAGGGCTCTATCTGAAGTATGAGGAGTAAAGATTTGTTCCCAGGATGTAGGCTCTCTATTTACCTCTCTTATTGTTTCTTTTGCTGAGAAAAAACTTTTTAGTTTGAGTAAGTCCCATTTGTTGATTCTAGTTATTAACTTTTGTGCTATGGGTGTCCTATTGAGGAATTTGGAGCCCGACCCCACAGTATGTAGATCGTAGCCAACTTTTTCTTCTATCAGACGGCATGTCTCTGATTTGATATCAAGCTCCTTGATCCACTTTGAATTAACTTTTGTGCATGGCGAGAGAAAGGGATTCAGTTTCATTTTGTTTCATATGGATTTCCAGTTTTCCCAGCACCATTTGTTGAAGATGCTATCCTTCCTCCATTGCATGCTTTTAGCCCCTTTATCAAATATAAGGTAGTTGTAGTTTTGTGGATTGGTTTCTGTGTCCTCTATTCTGTTCCATTGGTCCACCCGCCTGTTTTGGTACCAGTACCATGCTGTTTTTGTTACTATTGCTCTGTAGTATAGTTTGAAGTCTGGTATCGCTATACCGCCAGATTCACACTTCCTGCTTAGCATTGTTTTTGCTATTCTGGGTCTTTTATTTTTCCATATGAATTTCATGATTGCTTTCTCTATTTCTACAAGAAATGCCATTGGGATTTTGATTGGCATTGCATTAAACCTATAGAGAACTTTTGGTAATATCGCCATTTTGATGATGTTAGTTCTGCCTATCCATGAACAGGGTATATTTTTCCATCTTCTAAGATCTTCTTCTATTTCTCTCTTTAGGGTTCTGTAGTTTTCATTGTATAAGTCTTTCACCTCTTTTGTTAGGTTGATTCCCAAGTATTTTATTTTTTTTGAAGATATTTTGAATGGAGTGGTTGTCCTCATTTCCATTTCAGAGGATTTGTCGCTGATATACAGGAATGCCTTTGATTTATGCGTGTTGATTTTATATCCTGCCACTTTGCTGAATTCATTTATTAGCTCTAATAGTTTCTTTGTAGACCCTTTTGGGTCTGCTAGGTATAGAATCATGTCATCTGCAAATAGTGATAATTTAAGTTCTTCTTTTCCTATTTTGATGCCTTTAATTTCTTTCGTCTGTCTAATTGCTCTGGCCAGTGTTTCGAGAACTATGTTGAACAGAAGTGGTGAGAGAGGGCATCCCTGTCTTGTTCCAGATTTTAGAGGGAATGCCTTCAATTTTTATCCATTCAGAATGATGCTAGCCTGAGGCTTAGCATAGATTGCTTTTACAATATTGAGGTATGTTCCTGTTATCCCTAGTTTTTCTAGAGTTTTGAACATAAAGGGATGCTGTACTTTGTCGAATGCTTTTTCTGCATCTATCGAGATGATCATATTGTTCTTATTTTTAAGTCTATTGATGTGGTGAATAACATTTATTGATTTCCGTATATTGAACCAGCCTTGCATCCCAGGGATGAATCCTACTTGATCATGGTGCACAATTTTTTTGATATGTTTTTGTATCCGATTCGCCAGAATTTTATTGAGGATTTTTGCATCTAGGTTCATTAGAGATATTGGTCTGTAGTTTTCTTTCTTTGAAGTGTCTTAGTCTGGTTTAGGTATCAGGGTGATGTTGGCCTCGTAGAATGAATTTGGAAGTTCTCCCTCTTTTTCTATTTCCTGAAGTAGCTTGAAAAGTATTGGTATTAGTTCCTCTTTAAAGGTTTTGTAAAACTCTGCTGTATACCCATCCGGTCCTGGGCTTTTCTTAGTTGGTAGTCTTTTGATGGTTTCTTCTATTTCCTCAATTGATATTGGTCTGTTTAGGTTGTCTATATCCTCCTGACTCAATCTGGGCAGATCATATGACTTAAGAAATTTATCGATGCCTTCACTATCTTCTAATTTATTGGAGTATAAGGATTCAAAATAATTTTTGATTATCTTCTGTATATCTGAAGTGTCTGTTGTGATATTGCCTTTTTCATCCCGTATGCTAGTAATTTGAGTTCTCTCTCTTCTTCTCTTCGCTAGCATGGCTAAGGGTCTGTCGATTTTGTTTATTTTTTCAAAGAACCAACTTTTAGTTTTGTCAATTTTTTCAAATGTTTCTTTTGTTTCGATTTCATTAATTTCAGCTCTGATTTTAATTATTTCTTGCCTTCTACTTCTTTTGCTGTTGTTTTGCTCTTCTTTTTCTAGGATTTTGAGATGAAGTATGAGATCATTTATTTGTTGGTTTTTTCTTTTTTTAAGGAATGAACTCCAAGCAATGAATTTTCCTCTTAGAACTGCTTTCAATGTGTCCCATAGATTCCGATATGTTGTGTCTGTGTTTTCATTAATCTCTAAGAATTTTTTAATTTCCTCCTTGATGTCTTCTATAACCCATTGATCATTCAGTAACCTATTGTTCATTCTCCAAGTGATGTATGCTTTTTCCTTCCTTCTTTTATCATTGATTTTCAGTTTCATTCCATTATGATCAGATAAGATGCATGGTATTATCTCTACTCCTTTATATTGTCTAAGAGTTGCCCTGTGACATAATATATGATCTATTTTTGAGAAGGATCCATGTGCTGCTGAGAAAAAAGTGTAACTGCTTGATGTTGGGTGGTATATTCTATATATGTCAATTAAGTCTAGGTTATTAATTGTGTTATTGAGTTCTATAGTTTCCTTATTCAACTTTTGTTTGGAAGATCTGTCCAGTGGCGAGAGAGGTGTGTTGAAGTCTCCCATGATTATTGTATGGTGGTCTATTAGACTCTTGAACTTGAGAAGAGTTTGTTTGATGAACATAGCTGCACCATTGTTTGGGGCATATATATTTATGATTGTTATGTCTTGTTGGTGTATGGTTCCCTTAAGCAGTATGTAGTGTCCCTCTTTATCCCTTTTGATTAACTTTGGCTTGAAATCTATTTTATTTAATATGAGTATGGACACTCCTGCTTGTTTCCGAAGTCCATATGAGTGATATGATTTTTCCCAACCTTTCACCTTCAGCCTATGTATGTCTTTTCCTATCAAATGCGTCTCCTGTAGGCAGCATATTGTTGGGTCTTGTTTTGTGATCCATTCTACTAGCCTGTGTCTCTTGATTGGTGAGTTTAAGCCATTAACATTTAGGGTTATTATTGAGATATGGGTTGTTCTTCCAGCCATATTTGTTTATTTCTGTTACTAAACATGGTTTGTTTTCCTCTTTGATTATTTTTCCCCCCTTTACTGTCCTACCTCCCACTGTTGGTTTTCATTGTTATTTTCCATTTCCTCTTCCTGTAATGTTTTGCCAAGGATGTTTTGAAGAGATGGTTTTCTAGCTGCAAATTCTTTTAACTTTTGTTTATCGTGGAAGGTTTTAATTTCATCTTCCATCCCGAAGCTTAATTTCGCTGGAAACACAATTCTTGGTTGGAACCCATTTTCTTTCAGTGTTTGAAATATGTTATTCCAGGATCTTCGAGCTTTCAGAGTCTGTGTTGAAAGATCAGCTGTCATCCTGATTGGCTTACCCCTAAATGTGATCTGCTTCCTTTCTCTTGTAGCTTTTAAAATTCTCTCCTTATTCTGTATGTTGGGCATCTTCATTATAATGTGTCTAGGTGTGGGTCTCTTATGATTTTGCACATTCGGCATCCTGTAGGCTTCTAGGATTTGGGATTCTGTCTCATTCTTCAAGTCTGGGAAGTTTTCTCGTATTATTTCATTGAATAGATTGCTCATTCCTTTGGTTTGGAGTTCTGTACCTTCCTGTAT